CTGTTTGGACTGGAATAAGTTCCTTACCCAGTAATGACAGACGGAAGTCAGGGACTTTCGAGATCATTTGGCGACTACCGGAAACCATAAGCTTTGTCTTGGATGCGTTGAGAAGGAGGTGGTTGTCAAAACTCCAGTCACGAATCCTGCACAGATCTTTATTCATCTCTGTTATTGCTGAGGCACATTAGGGCCATTTATACCGGACAAAATAAGTCGCGTCTTACATAAGACGCGTCTTATATAAGCTTATATCGCATAAATGGTTCTCTACGGATTTATTCTTATTTACTTGCTATAGCTATAATGTTGTTTCGGTTGTTTTTGTTCGAATGTTTCAAGTTTCGGGCATGTGTAGTTAGAAATTTTGTCTAAAATTTCTTATTTAAGACGCGACTTAAATAAGAACAGCTAAAAGTCCTGTTCTTATGTAAGACGCGTCTTATCCAAGACGCGTCTTACATAAGAATTTTGTACCTTTTATACGACAAACTCGCGTCTTATTTAAGTCGTGTCTTATGTAAGTCGCGTCTTATTCTATCCCGTATAAATGGCCCTATATTGTTGGATAGGAAAAGTAAGTGATAGTTTATTATCGTCAACGTACATCTTGAATAAACTACTCTGAGGAATTGTTGGTAGTTCGTTAACATAGATATTAAAGAGGATCGGTCCAAGAATGCTGCCTTGTGGGACACCACTGTTCACAGGTAGTTTGTCGGATAGAACGGTATTGATACGTACGACCTGGAATCTTTCCGATAAATAGCTCGAAAACCAGTTTAGGGCAGCAGGTGATACGCCGACATCTTGTAATTTCAACCGGAGAATGTTGTGATCTATACTATCGAAAGATTTACTCATATCTAGCAGGACAACGGCCGTTAAATCTTTTTCATCGTTAGCGTTCAAGATTCAATCCGTAGTCTCGATCAAGGATGTTTCTGTCGAGTGAAATCTGCTATTGCCACTCTGTTGGGTAGATAGGCGTTGTTTTGTATCTAAATAAGAAATCATTTGGTTATGCACCGTCCTCTCTCATACCTTAGATAAAATTGGCAAAAGCGAGATGGGTCTGTTGTGAGGTGTTAATAATGGAAGTGAGGTGTTAATAATGGAAATGATTGTTGGTAAGATTGCGGGAAGACTATATTTAATGACTCGCATCGAGATCTGATCTACTCCAGAGGACTTGTTTGTTGGCATGGACGAAACCATTTCTCTGATCTTCTCACAATCCACGGTTTCAAACATAAATTGTTCTGATTCTGGGTGAGAGGTTGGTTTAAACTCTGACTGTAAGAGGTCGTAATTACATTTTTCTGCAAGTGACTTGATATTAGAAATTGCAGTTTGGCCAACTGAAGAGAAAAAGCTGTTAAATTAATTTGCTACGACAATGTCATCTTTTGCGAAAGTTCTTTGATTCGCAGATTTCTTTGGAATGCATGATCCTATCGTTTTCCAAAGGCATTGTGTGTTGTTTGGATTTGTTCTAATTTGTTCTGCGATGTATTCACGTTCTGCTACTCGTAGATTTCTTTTCACATCCCCACTTAAAATTCTATAACTAGCCCAGGCTAGGGGATCTTTAGTCTTCCTTGCTTCTTTACGCCAATCATTGCGCGTTTTCATAAGTTATCTTATATCATCTGTAACGAATAGATTGGGACGATTCCGAAAGAAAATCAAAACAAAGACGATTCCGAATTTTGATCTTCTTCTTTTGAGTATGCCTGACAAGGTTGAAACAGAACGTTTCTTTCCAGTCAATGGTGAAACACCCATGTGTTCAGAGATAGGCTAATATTTTTAATGTATAGGTTGTTTTTCATCCCTTCCTCTTATTCGCTTATTAGAATAATGTAACCGTTTAAAGGTTTGTATATATATAATACACGCTTGTAAATAAATTTAATTGCTCTGAAGATGTTATGAACAATACAACGAAACGTTAGCCAATAAATTTTATATTTTTGTTATGTCTTATCGGAAAATCATTTGCTGGGCTTTAATTTTCATTTTAAAATTATTTTAACATTGTTTAATTAAAATTTTTAATTACATAATATAACATTACATGCAAAATATGAACATAATAAACTTCTTTACTCTTCAGGATAATTATAACGAGCTCTAATATTTAATAATAATAATAATAATAATAATAATAATAATAATAATAATAATAATAATAGTGATTTATTGGTAATATATCCACAGAGTGGCTCTTCGCTTACCAAGTTATATAAGTTATAAAGTATTCATAAAGTCTATAAACTATTTTACGTATATTACTGCAATATAACTTTGAATATGTAACGTGTTCGACAGGACAAAATATTACTTACGGAATAACGAATTAACTAAGTTAGAACAAAACTGTACGAAACTATATATACATTTAAATATTTCTTTCTAAGATTACCCAAGTCTTGACCATGCTTTCAAGACTAAGAAATTCTTGGTCTCATTGTAGAACACTCTGTAGTCTCTGCAGTTCCTAATTTCTTCTGGTAATTGGTTAAAAAGATGTGCTGATTGGTCCTGTAATGTGTTCTTAATTAAAGGGACTTGAAGCTGAGAGCCTTTTCTTGATCTCAGAACTCGAGAATGTTGAACCAATTGTAGTTTTTGGTAACTTGGCCAATTTTCATCGTGAAGCGCTTTGTAACTTAATTTTAGAATGTTCCATTCACGTTGTTCCTTGATAGGCAACCAGTTTAACGATAATACGTCGGCTGATCTAGCGAATTTACCTAGCACGAAACTAGCTGCTGCTTTCTGTACCCTTTGTAGGCGTTTCTGTAAGTACTCTGGCAGTGAATGGTAAATTACGTCGTTATAGTATAGTTTTGATAAGACAAGAGCCTGTACTAAGTTCTTACGGATTTTGAATGGTAAACAATTTTTTAGTTTTCTGAGCGTGGCAAGAGTGGAGTAACAGGATGAGACGATGTTTTTAACATTCTCTTCCCATTTAAGGTGTTCGTTAATGTAAGACCCCAGTAATTTTGTGGATTTAACTCGCTCTACGTGTGTGCCATTGATTTCGATATTGATGGAGGCATCATTCATCATTCAATATTTTTCCTTCAATGACGTTTCGCTTACTTTCTTATTATAAATGTTCTACTGGGATTCAATACGACGACCACCTGCTCTCCCCCCCAAAAAAAAAAACCCAACAAAAAACAACCATCCGGCCAATCTAGCGACGCCGCTGCTCGCGAACTTAGTTTTCTAATAATAATCCTTTAATTTCACTTATGAAAGTTGGGAATTTCACATACAAAATGGACATTTTTAGGTATGAAATGTTCCATTTGCAGATAACATTTGACATGTGAAGTAATATGTGAATTTCCCCTAAGGGTGAACAGCTGTAACCAAATCCAAGGGCTTATATATAACCGCTTCATAGTTTTTCATCGAGAACGACCAATGTCAACAAGCTTATAAGACAACAGTTAACGATCCTGGGAGTATCATGCAGGCTCGGTTTTCACTTAACATAGACACGGTCGCAAAAAAAGGAAAAAGTCATCTGATGGGTCTGTCAAAAAACCCAATTTAATTCGTTGTTTGTTTGCCAGTTAGGAATACTTCAAGTTGTAATTAAATCAATGGTTTTGGAAAATTTAGAGGGGTTGTTGCATGCATATATTTCTAGTTAGTTTTTTTGTTATTGCGTGAAATTGACATTTCTTCTTGGACCTTTTAATTGGATACTACATAATAAACTTTACTGAGCGGAGAGCCACCAGATTGAAGTTTCCGTCATGGTGGCGCTCTATTTGTAAAATATAGCTTGATGCTCGGGCTTCAAAGGGAGAGCAAAATACTTTCGTTGAAAAACCTTGACTAGAAAGCCCAATTCCGACCACGAAATGCTACAAGTAGACTCGTATTATTCAGCTGCGAGGTGGAGTAGAAATTTCTTAATTAAAGTGCGGATTTTAGAGATAAGATTTTGTCGAGTCTACCTGGGACGAAACTTGAGG